ATTTATTAATAAAGTATTAAAAAAAACTTATTATTTTGTTTTTTACATTCTAAAAAATATATCTTTAAAATTTTATAGCAAATAATTAAATAAATATTTATTTATTATAAAAAATATTTGTCTAAAGACTTTTTAGACAAACTGTATTTTATTAATAAAGATATAAATAAGATTTTACTTTAATATTTAATTAATTATTAATAGTAATTACTTTAAAAAAATTTTTTTTATTATTAAATTTATTTTTATATATTAAGTAAAGTTATTTTACAAAATAAAATATATAGTATATATTGTAAAGTTTTTATATATTAAATTTTATAATTTTTGTTAAAATAAAGATTTTTTATATTTAATTAAATAAAAATTTATGAAAATTAATATTTAAATACTGTAATATATACTGAACAAAATTTATTAATATTAAATTGCTTGTTAAAACAATAGTTACAAAAATTTTATAGGTGTTAAAATTTTTATTCAAAAAAAAATCATTAAACATAATAATAAAAGTTTATTCAAATTTAATAAAAATTTGATCATATATAGAATTTATTATAAGAAACATGTTTACATATTACTTAAAAGTTATTTATATTAATAAAATAAAAGATTTAATATATAACAATTATTTTTGATTAATTATAATAATTCTTAAGTGGTTCTTTATCTATTAGGAAACTGATATTATTGTTTAATATAAATTATTTTAAGATTAAATCAAATTAAATTTTTAAATGATATTAAAAATTAAAAAAAATATTATTATAAAATTTATTGCAAAAAAGTACAAAAAAAAAATTTTATAAAATATACAATAGTATATATTTTTATATATTAAATAACTTATTTAAAAAAAATTATTAAATTATTATAAAAAGATTATTTTTTATTAATTTTAATATGATAAATTAATATTTTCAAATAAAATGATTAAATTATTATAAAAAGATTATTTTTTATTAATTTTAACATGATAAATTAATATTTTCAAATAAAATAATAATAACATGTTTTTGTTAAAAACCATCAGTGTATTTTTTTAAGTCTTTAAAACTGTTTATTCTTTTTATAAATATATAAAAAATATTTAAAATATTCAAAATGTCAATATTATTTCTGAATTATCATTAAAATAAATTTTCCCATAATAAATTCAGAATTTGATTATAAATATTATTATTATATTGATTTTTTAAATTTTTCTTGTATTAATTAAAACAATATTAATAACAAAAATTAAAATATGTCAACAATAATAGTAAATGACTTAATAGAATTTAAGAATAAAACAACAACAGAGGTTTAAATAAAAGTTGTATTTGTTATTTTAAAACATATTTTTGAATAACCTTTTCCTTTAGATAATATTATTTATAATTAATATATTGAATAATTATATTTTAATTAACAAAATAAAGTTGCATTAAAAAAATCAAATAGGTCATACTTTTTATTTATTTGAAATATTGTATAAGTCTGTGAATATTTTTATTATAATATTAATATACAGTAATAATTTGTTTTACACAACTATATGCATATTGACTCAATCATAAAAGTTCATAAAATACAGTATCCTATGATGACTGTTCTGAAAGAATTGACAACACCGCGTTAGTTATTTTTAAGTCAATTAAAAATCCTCTTAATATATATTGCTTGAACGTAGGATTAAAATTAGTAATGACTATCGCGCAGTCGGACATTTTGCACCGGGAATCTTCAATGATCTACAATTATGCAGATCTTATCTTCGGAACTTCATTCCGTGATGAAGTGATCGAAAATTTACAAACCAAAAGATCAAAGAAGGAATATTTATAATTCGTTATTATATCACTTGTTTTCATACATACAATTTGGTCCCACATAAACGCATGAGCTTATGATGTCTCCGATACAAGAATAGACAAAAAACTTTTAAATTAGTAAAATCATCACTCTTTCACGTGATTGTCTATTAAGGAAAGAATAATTTTCCGTTGTTTGTAGAGAATTTGTATGCGTAAATTCGACTACATGTGTACGTAATTTGTTTGTTATTTTTCGCAGTTTGTTTTTTATTATAATAGGGAATGAAAATGGAACAAAACAAGCATTATTGAAACACAAGAAGAACATTCTTTAGGGCAACAATACTATTTTCGCTGAAGAAATCATTTGACTGTTTGATATTTACAAAGTGTATCACATAGTATACATTCACAAATTTTCCTTATTTGTACATGGGCCATAATTTTGATGGTATTTATGTAAACAACAGGCATTAATTCGGAAATTATAAACCGAAATGCCGCATACTGTGGAAACTCTATTTTTAACGAATATATGTCTCTTGACCGAGAATTTTTAATAAACTAATGGTAACTTTAACAATTTGTCATCAGTTTGATGTTTAACATGTGCTTAATCGTTTATTCAATTAACATTATTTCCAAATTCTAATGACAAAGGATTTTTTAGAATACTTATTTTGGAAGGATAATGTAAACACGCACGAGTGATAACATAAAATTTCGGAACAATAAATCCTCTTTCGATTGCTATCCATAAGTCATTGTGGCACATCCAGAAAACGTAAATTATGAATAGAAATTCAAACATGAATTCGGAATACCAGCCATCCGTAATCTTGATGCACAATTTAGCCTCTTTTAGGGTTAGCACTTTGATAAACATTCAGAAATTCTTTGAATAACATTTGAAATAATATCTCAATCGCAACATGAATCCGTTTCATTATTCTCGATAATGTCATAACTGTTCAGTCACAGATGCTTGGTATGTAAATTTTGTGTGACCACCAGCCTTATTGACCGCAGATTGTTTGATCTGGTGACTAGAGATTCTAAAGTCCCGTGCTAATAAAGTATAAATAGGTAACATCGCTCGACCTTTTCGCTCTCCCTTCGTGGTGTTTCAAAAAAATGAATAAAATTTGACATATTTTCACTTTTCGTTCATTTTTTTCATAATAATCTTTTGGCATTTGTCGAATGTTAAATTACCCATCCACGAATCGTTATCTATTCTTTTGTGTAAACTCTTTTGTCAATCGACATCTCAAGCGCATTCCGTCGAAAATCGATTTTTTTATAGTTACGATTAACTCAAAATTTCGTTATCTCTTTTTCAACGCAAACCTTATTAATGAGTACCATGGATTCTTCAAATTCGGGAAACAATGGGTATTATAATGACGGGGAGCAAGAGGGTGTTTCTTCTAGTCGCGAAGAGCCCAATAGATTAAATGATAGTATTCCTGAAGATGATAGTCATAGACAAATCGAATGTTCCTCTATTTCATCTTCGGATGTTGAAGCTCAATCTCCCCTTTCAGATCAGGGAAATGAGAGTACCACTATTCAATCGCCACCACCTTCAGTTAATTTTCAACAAATTTCTCCAGAACTTTTAATTCGGCCATCGTTCCCACCAAAAATTTGTCCGAAAGATTTGGTCATTAACCTATTACGCAGCAAGTCTCGATCTCCAAAGATGTTAAACGAATTTTTCATATACAGAAAGGCCTATGTTGAGGAATGTAAAAAACACAAACTTCGTCCAAAAATGACAAAAGTTTCTTCTTCTGCATCTGTCGCTTGGCATAATGAACCACCGGCAGTCAAAGATGAGTATAGAAGGCTTGCGCGTGAAACAGAAAATTTATACTTAAAAGAAATTCGACAAAGGTCACAATCTACTACTAGTAAACAAGTCCAACCACCTCCAAGCCCTCAACCGCCTATTGTGGATGACGTATCCCCCTATTTCCCACTATATATGCCAATTTACCATGATGCCCGTTTATATTACGATCCATTTTATATATTTTACACACCGGTACCAGATAATACCTATTATCAAGATCATAGTAATTTATTGAATGTCTCATTCAATGAATTATCGGGACAGCAATGGTCGCAAAACATAGAAACGTTCTCGAATATAACCTCGCACCACACGTCATCATTTGATAGCATTAATTTTGAAAATTCTCATGCGTTCGAAACGTCGTTATCGTTTACTAATGATGTATCGTATGTGTCTTTTGAAAGGCAACCTGATGTTACACCTGATACAGAAACTCTGGAGAAATATCCTCACGATGCTACTTGAATCCTATAATAATTATGACCACTTCTGGTATTATCGTGATAATGATTTATGATTAAGGAATTAAGCATTTATTTATAAGCCAATTACGCTCATTTAACTACAGTGTATTAATAAACATAAAAAATTTAAGTTTTATCATCTCATTGACGAAAAATTAAAATGATACACCATAAATTATTCCAGTCAACAATCCGCAAATAAAGGTTTGCAAAAAATATTACAAAAAAAAATTGCTTTATGCATAATAGCATAACATGTGACTTAATGTGATGTGTATGCGGTTTGTGGCTGCTTTTGTGTCGCGAATATGGGGTCGTAACTCCGATATTTATCGCCCTATTATATCTACACATAATCGAATACAGTACTTGTTCCACGTGTAATACGTGCTACGTTCTATTCCGAGATCCGATTCTACGTGCAGACGATATACCGAACGTTGCTAAGTTAGTGTACTTAAGATCAATGCATATATCGAGGAAACTTAAAATTACTATTAAAGGATACTGCAACGCTCATGTGCATGATCAAATTTAAATATACAGTATTGATATAGATTGACAACATTAAAATAAAAATGGACATGGATCATTTCTAGATAAGGAAATAAATAAAAACAACAATAATTATGTATTCTTCATAAAGCATTCACATGAATTCATTTCAATAAGTTTTTAAATTACTTAATTTCTTCTCTTCTTTTTATTTTTAAGCGAGACTTTACTAACTTATTAGTTACGATCATAACATTAAACGCCCACTCCATGGTTAACACCACCTATTAAACTATTTCTAGCTAATGATATCCTATTGTACAACTGTGACATACCCTGCTATACGTAAATTACTTATTTTCTTTTTATTTCAATCCGGATATCTATTATATATACTGTCTATATTTTATTGTAAATATACAATTTTTAAATGTAGTTTTTAATATAAAGTATATGTATATAAATCATTGTCAAGCTTTATGAGTAAATAGACAAATAATAATATTTTTAAAAAAATTTTTTTTTATTTAAACTAGATTAAGTTTAGACTATAATTAAAAAACTATAGTGGACCCTCTCTAAATATTCTTCTTTTGGAACCATAGACAAAAATATTTAAAAATATGTACATGTATTTAAAGAGAATATATATTTATAAAGAAAATTTTATCAAGAGTTTGTATACAGGAAATTAATATTGGTTATAATATAATACTTAATATCAAATATTAAATATAATTGAAAAATATGCATGTATAATTTTTATTTATATTTAATTTTATTCAAGAAATTTAATATTTCTTATATTATTTTTACTAATATTATTCTTATAAATACTGTATATTATCTTTGAATTTTCTTATACAAATAATCTATGGATACTACTTTAATTATTTTAATTATAAAATCTAAATTTAATTTTTTTGATAAGTAAATATTATTATATTTTTTTATAACTAGTTAAATTTTATCCAATATATAATTTATTTGTTAATAGTATTTATATATAATATATTGTGTTACAAATAGTTCAAATATGCTTTGAACTCAATTATATTATTTGTATAATAGATTCTATCAAAATTTATTTCAAATGTTAACTTTACTATAAAAATACATAACAACATATATTTATATATTTATTATTTTAAGCTTTTATACATTATTTTAAAATATTTATATATGATTTTTTTGAATTATTTAATGAATTTGAAAAAAAAAAATATATATTATATAAGTATACTTAATAATATATTATATACAAGATCTAAAAATTATATAATAAATATAAACAGACCTAATATAACAAGCTATATACTATCTACATCAGGAAATTTTTTAGCAAAGATCTCCAAAGATCTTCAGGCGTAGACCTCCGGAGGACCTCCGTCATCGTTAAAAGACTCTGGAGCGAAGGTTACTATATTAAACTCTGGAGATCTTCGATTTATTTTAATAATAATAAAATATATTTATATTCACGTATTATAATCTATTAATATTCAATTTTT